AATTCTCATGTAGAAAACCTTAATTAAATAAACTGTGAAAAAATAATTATTGCTAATAATTTATTGGCACAATTTACATCAAGAAAAACGAAGTTTCCCAAAAGGTGGAGAAATTTGCCAAAATATTGCCTAAATATTATATTAGTTCAGAATACTCCTTTTTTTTTGGTCAACAAATTCTTACACATCTTTAAAAAATATATTTTCAATTAACTCCCCATTTTTAGACAGCTTTCAAGAAACTGTTTTGAAAAAGATTGATGATAATCTAAAATTTTGCTACTTAAAGTATAGTCTGTGGCCCAGCATCATGAAATCACTTGACAGCATTCTTAAACAATGCAGAATTCAGATCTATTAAATTAGAATTTGCATTTTAACAAGATCTTTAAGGAATCAAATGCACATTAAAGTTTTGAGAAGCACCGATTAATGCATAGCTAATTCAGTGGAACTTTGTATAGCACGGATCTGAAGCATCAGCTTCCCCTGCCTCACCCAGAAAATCTTGGGTAGCTGACAATAATATTGAACAGAAAACCAAATACCACATGTTCTCTCTTATAAGTGGGAGCTGAGCTGTAGGTGCAAAGGCACACAGAGTGGTATAAATACACATTGGAGACTCAGAAGTGGGGAACGTGGGAGGGGGTGAAGGTGATAAAAAATCACCCACTGGGTGCTATGTACACCATTCAGGTAATGGGTACACTTAAAGCCCAGACCTCACCACTACACAATTCATTCAGTAACCAAAAACCACTTGTACCCTACATCTATTGAAATAAATTTAAATAATAATAATGGTAATAGTGCTTGGATTACAGGCATGAGCCACCATACCTGGCCTAATAATAGTAATAGTAACAACAGAATGCCTGAGACCCATTACTATAGATGATTACTGTAGACATTACAATTAGTTTGTTAGGAATGACTAAACTTTTGGGAGGCCAAGACAGATGGATTGCTTGAGCCTAGGAGTTCGAGATCAGCCTGGGCAACAGTGAAAATCCCGTCTCCACCAAGAAATTACAAAAATTAGCCGGGTGTGGTAGTGCGTGCCAGTAGCCCCAGCTACTCAGGAGGCTGCGATGAGAAGATGGCTTGAGCCTGGCAAGCAGAATTTGCAGTAAGCTGAGATCGCACCACTGCAGCCCTACACAACAGAGCCAGATCCTGTCTCAAAAAATAAAAAATGGTTGACTAAAACTACCAAATGTATTATAATTTTTAAAAATTAGCAATGATGTCGTGTCTTCTTTCATGGTAGGCAAATAAATTTATATGTCTAACAGATTTAAATATTTTAGTGATAATTAAGAAAACATTAATCTATTGAATGTAATAAATTTTTTAAGAATAAGAAAAAACAGTCCAAGATAACATTAGAAGTAGCTATAAATCAATAATAAAAGAGGATAGAAGTTACACATGATTAATTAACATATAATCTACTACTGGTTGATTGCCCATCTGTATTTTTCTTTGAATGTATATTTTTCTAAAAATTGTTACGGTCTTTTATTTTGATTTCTTAAGATAATCTCTGCAGCATTTGTTTCTTGCATTAAAGTTTTATAATTACACATTCTTTTCACCATAAAATCTAGAGGTAAAACTAGATCAATAGATAAATATACCCAAAATGTATAATTTTTACTAATGAAAAGTGTTTATTATTTGACTGAAAAATATTAACCTTGAATATTATAAGGGTTCTGTACAGTAAAAACAGAAAACTTTATTTTATTTTTTTGTGTCAAATTTAGTCACTTTGAGGTTTTCTGTTTTGTTTTTCAGAAGCCATGGTTACTGGAAGCATGAGAGTCAAAACTAAGGCTAATTTACTTTACTTGTAATCATAAGAATTTACACCCACTCCCACTGCTTAACTGGAATAATAAAAAAAGGAATTTGTAAGTGTTGTGATGTTACTTAAAGTGAATTACTTGTATGTTGAAATTTATTAGATAACCTTACTAGTGATTTTGCAATCTGTAACATATGCAAATAATTTAGTTTTCAGAGCTTGTTTTAACATTTGATACAAATTCAATTAAAAGAATTAAAAAAATACAGTATCATTCAAATGAGTGATAACAAATGAAATAATTATTTAGCTTGTAAGTTTTCAAATTTCCCATTTAGGTGTTTTAGTCATCATAGCATTTCGTATATATTTTTTATATACGAAATATAGAGTAAGGATTTTGCTTAGTAAAATGTGCCTAGAAGAATTCTGATGCTGTGTGTAGCCTGTGAAAAACTAGTGAATCATGTGTTCATTGCTTATCTGGCAATGCTTATTCCAAGAGTTTTATATTTTTGAGTCTTACATCTAGATCTTTAACTATTTTGAGTTAATTTATGTGTATGGTGTATTGTAGACTGAATGTTGTTGTCCCCCTTAGCCTCAAATTCATATGCTTAAGCCCCAACTCCCAGTGTGTGTTTGGAGATGGAAGTTCTAAGGAAGTCATTGAGGTTCAATGAGGTCATAAGGATGGGGCTCTGGTCCAATAGAATTAGTGTCCTTATAAGGTGAGACACCAGAGACCTTGCTCTTTCTCCCTGCATTTACACTAAGAAGAAATCATGTGAACAAACAGCAATATAGAGGCTGCCTACAAGTCAAGAGAATAAAATCTACTGTACCAGTTTCCTTTAATGTGTTGTGAGATAAAAGTAGGCATAACCTGAAGAAAGGAAAGTTGAAGTCTCCAAATGAATAAATGTTTATTGTAGGGTGTTACGTCCTCTTCTACGCATAACTAGATTTCTATTTTGTTACATATGAACAGACATTCCACACAACAGTTTTAGACTTGTTTGATATATCATGGAAATAACTAAGAGATCTCAGAGAACAGGGAATCAGAGCTCAGAGAAACATTAACTTCAGTTTTTATCAGAGAAGAATAAAAGGTGAAATAGAATTTATTCTCAAGAACAAGTACCATCTTCCAACATTGCTTATCTCTTGAGTTGCAGAAATGCGCTGTGGTAATACAAACACATTTGTGATAAAGCATAGGATTAATAAAATTTAGCTAAAGCCTTACTTCACTGTAATAACTATGGGGTAACATTCATTTGAATTCTTTTTCCACTTATAAATCTTTTATATAGGTGGGAGCAAGATTCCAAAAGCTAAATTACTAAAAATTATGCATTGAGAATATCATGCCTCTACCCAGTGAAGTTTCTTTTAGAGTGGACAAATATTTTGGTAGTCATGAAAGTGCAATCATTTAAAATGTTCAGGTTCAATGACAAGACGCCTTTTATATAAGTACAAGACTCTTAAGTTATTTCTTAATCCCATCCATATAGATATTTGAGACGCTTTTTTGACATTACATATGGGGTGTAGATAAAGGAGACACTGAGGTCTGCCTGAGTGGGTTCATTCGTCCCTCTGCTGGCCTTTGATTCTCCCTCAGTGCTTAACACTAATGGCTGCTGACAGACCTGTTTCTGCATTCCAGCATTGCCAGCTAATTATTTTCAGATCTCTGGAATCTGCAAACATTCAGAGGCTAGTGTTGAAATGGAAAAATTCCATATAATCATTAAATTATTCTTTAATTCTTGTTATGTGTATAAGGAAAAATATCTGGGAAGAGTCACTTTTGAGATTTTTTTTTTCCACATCACAAACAACTTTCAAGTAAGAGCATCAGCCTTGCACACAAGTCAGTTTCTTGTTTTTATTGCTTCTTAAATCTCAAGTTCCACTGATGCTTCAGAACTCTCCAATTTTCCTGTTAAAACCTGAAAACAAACCTGTTTTTCTTTCTGGAATGATAAATTTTGTACTGAAACAGCATATAGAATACCAAAGAATGCTATTTGAAAATGTTTAAAATTTCCAAAGAAGAGATCTAAAATATAGCACATGTTTTTAAATCTAGTTCAAAAAGTGTTCTTATAAATCTGAAGAAATATAATAGATTCAGATTGGCCATGAGTAGTTTATTTGAAATATTTTCCCATCAGTACTATCCCTAGAGCATTAAGTTTGGTGGTTCTGTTTCTCCTTTTATGAAAAGAAAATTCTATTATCTCTCACAGTTTTACCACATAGGACAATAAAGTGTATATATCTCTGTAAATAGTGTAATTGATCAGAAGAATTGACTCTAGCGAGTCTCAAGAGTTAGAGAAAGCAATTATACTCAGCTCTCTGCTTTTCTGAAACATAATCATTACATAGCATTAAAAACATTCTTTCAAACAGGGATCAGTGGGTTCAATGGATTGCTGACAATATTTATTTTCCAATAAAAGCAAGTTACTGAAAATACATCTGAGAAACATTTCTGCAATCTTCCTAGTATATATAATGTAAAACTGAGAATGGTAGGAAGAGTCTTATAAGCACTGAATCCAGGAGCTGGGTGTAGAACCTAGGCAGGAAATGGTATTATACATCTAGAAAATTGATGATAATATGTGCCCCAAGGTAGCAGTACATCTATATATAAGTAGATTGCCAAAGATGTCAAAAGAACAAATAAGTGTCTAAATCAGAAAGCGACGCTATGTTCAAAGACTTTCTCTTAAATAGCTGACGTAAAGCACTAAAAAGACTCGAAGAGAACAGGATGAAAAATAGACCTATATCCTTTGGGCATATGTTTACATGAAATACATTTTTTAAAGGGGTAGAGATTTGGAAGTAAGGATTAAAAGATCTAGAATATCCATTATCCAAGTAAAGTGAGTTCTAGTTCATGACATTTGAGATTCGACTGTCATGGAAGAGAGAAGACAGAGAACACTGGGCCTACTCTGACTGTATCCACTAGTTTTAGCTAAAAAAAAAAAAAAAAAAAAAAAAGCCAAATGCTTATTTTTAACTTTGAACAACAAGAATAGAGGGGGGAAAAGGGAGAAAGAAATAAAAAAAAAAAAGAAGAAGAAGGGAGGGAAAGAAATCAAAATATAAGAGCAACAGCGTGTTTATCCTCTGGAAAATAGGCATTTCTTTTTTTTTTTTAATTGAACCCTTCATGAACTTTCATGTCATCCTTATACAGGGACAATGCTAATCTCCGTATCGTTCCAATTTTAGAGTACGTGCTGCTGAAGCGAGCACTGTTTCTTTCTCTAAACATCCTACAGGAGTTTAAAAAATTTTGGCGCACCAATTAGTATCGCTCCTAGTGCTGTCCAGGAGATAGCAATTAATCCCAATTTACCACAACTGCCAATATCCCATTGTTAAGTGGTTTTAAGAATTATTTAATAAAAACTCAGAGATATAAACAAAGAAGATGGAAAAATGATTTACCTACTACTGCCTATCCCCGACCTGACTTAATGTCACTTCCCTCCCTTAAGTTGCTGTCCCTAAACATTTCTGGGAAATGTACTTCCATTTACTGGTGCCACTAGCAATTCCAAGAACAAAGTTTGAGCTATGATTCCTGTTGGTTTCTGTGTGTTTATCTAAGCTAAACAATTTTTTCGTTCAATGTTTTTGTGTCCTATACCTACTCATTTATGATTAAATGGTCCCTCTGGATGAAGTCAAGTACGCCGTAAGGCTTTTGACCCAATGTGAAGTGTCCAAATGCTCAAACACGGCAGTGACAACGTTGCTTGGATTGGATTTAATCCGGCTTTATTGGCTTGGATTCTATACCTAGAAAGTCTTGCCACTAGCATTTAGGCATTTAGGCACACCAAAAAGAGGAATTCTAGTAGCTGAAGTCTGAATACATTTTCTGGGTAACTAGTTTCTGACTCAAGAATGGTAGAAGAAAGCACTAGAATTCTTGCAAAAAATATACATAAAAGCTAAAATATGTTTTCAAAAGTCAGAAAATATAAATCTCTTTCTCTCTCTTTTTGTTATGCATAAATCCTAGGGTTTCTGGCAATAATTTAGACTATCTATAACAGAATTGTAACTGCCCCTAAGGAAATGTAGTAATCAACATTTCTGGAAAGATGTCTTTGATGTACTCTTTCACCTGGAACACGGACTAGGCCCTGGGAACAGTTTTCAGGTAGCTCCTGAACGGCATTTTGGGTAGCTGCCAGGATGGTTTAAATATAACCCATTACATAAAACTGGAGCCACAGTGCCGTAACTGCTGGCTGGGAATTGTTTCACTGAGCAAATAGTTTAACAAACATTCATCTTTAGCAAACATCCTTCAGTGGAGATTCAGTTCCTGGGAACTTGTGTCACAAAAATAAGTTCTATTATTTGTCTCAAATCTGTGAAGTCGGTTTTTCCTTAAGGTTATAATATTTAGATTTAAATTCGATAATGGTATATTTTATATGCTTTCCAAAAGTGCTGGAGGTCTTGACCATTTCCGGTGGGAAACCATAATTTATGTGTTCTTTAGGGACAACCACTATCCTTCATAATATGTGATTTTTACTAGCTACAAATTGATGTTCAGGATGGGATTTAGGGAGCCTGAAGAATGTGGACTATTTGTAGCCATGACATTTAATAATCTATTCCAAACAATTTTCTACTTCTACCATTATAAGAAACTATCTGATTCTTTTTTTTTTTTTTTTTTTGAGATGGAATTTCGCTCTTGTTACCCAGGCTGGAGTGCAATGGCGCGATCTCGGCTCACTGCAACCTCTGCCTCCTGGGTTCAGGCAATTCTCCTGCCTCAGCCTCCTGAGTAGCTGGGATTACAGGCACGCGCCACCATGTCCAGCTAAATTTTTGTATTTTTAGTAGAGACGGGGTTTCATCATGTTGACCAGGATGATCTCGATCTCTCGACCTCGTGATCCACTTGCCTCGGCCTCCCAAAGTGCTGGGATTACAGGCTTGAGCCACCGCGCCCGGCCACTATCTGATTCTTAAAATTCTCAAAAGCTAGGTTTCTTTTTGTTAAAGATATATGTATATGTGTGTGTGTGTTTGTATACATACATACATATATATATATACATATATATATATATGCATACACATATAAGAAGCTTAAAGATTATGTAAATATATGAACTGCATAGCTGAACATTGATTAAGATTAAGCTGCCGGGCACGGTGGCTCAAGCCTGTAATCCCAGCACTTTGGGAGGCCGAGGCGGGTGGATCACGAGGTCGAGACATCGAGACCATCCTGGTCAACATGGTGAAACCCCGTCTCTACTAAAAATACAAAAAATTAGCTGGGCATGGTGGCGTGTGCCTGTAATCCCAGCTACTCAGGAGGCTGAGGCAGGAGAATTGCCTGAACCCAGGAGGCGGAGGTTGCAGTGAGCCGAGATCGCGCCATTGCACTCTAGCCTGGGTAACAAGAGTGAAACTCCGCCTCAAAAAAAAAAAAAAAAAAAAAAGGCCGGGCGCGGTGGCTCAAGCCTGTAATCCCAGCACTTTGGGAGGCCGAGGCGGGTGGATCACAAGGTCGAGAGATCGAGACCAACCTGGTCAACATGGTGAAACCCCGTCTCTACTAAAAATACAAAAAATTAGCTGGGCATGGTGGCGCGTGCCTATAATCCCAGCTACTCAGGAGGCTGAGGCAGGAGAATTGCCTGAGCCCAGGAGTCGGAGGTTGCAGTGAGCCGAGATCGCGCCATTGCACTCCAGCCTGGGTAACAAGAGCGAAACTCCGTCTCAAAAAAAAAAAAAAAAAAAAAAGATTAAGCTTAAAGATATATATGTATATATACACATACACACACCTCAGTAAGTTTCAAGATTATGTAAATATATGCACTGCATAGCTGAACATTGGCTCTGTGTCTCAACTTCATTTCAATTACAAAGAAAATATACTTGGTACCTACATAAATAATGCCTTGAATATGGTTGCTATTATAGTTTCCATCTCATTTGATTTTCACAAAAACCTTGATATGTGGTGTTGTCTCCATTATAAAGAGCAGGAGATTGAATCTTACTAATGTTTGATGACGGACTTTGAACTATGGAGTTAATAAAATTTTGAAAAACAGAGTGTAAACAAACAAAGAAACTTAACAAATGATCAAAGAAACCCATTTTGGAGTATTTTTAATTGCTCTTGTCATGAAGAAATCATTCTTCTTTGAGTAAATGTTACAAGATTATTTGTATAACTCAAGGGATTAAAGAAAAAAAAAACCCAAACAAATAAACAAACCAACCTCGGTAAGCGGCTGATGAGAGCAAAAATCATTTGATTTTGTGTGTGGCTGCTAATCACTCCTTTTCCAAACACACAGCACCTCAAAAGCACCCTATTTATATAATTAGTCCAATAAGCCAGCTATGGCACAACTCCTTGAGATGATTCTGTATTGATTCTTGCGATTCTCAGGCTCATAAGTAGAATGCAGGATTCCCAAACTAAGCCTTTCTTATTTCCATCTAAACAGTGTAGGAGGTAAATGGTTAGCAAATCTTATTTCTCCCAGCATCTTTGCAGTCCCTTAAACAGGAATCAACAAACCATATTCTTCAATTTGCCCTTAGGGCTGGCTTTCCTTTCGTATGAAATTCATTATATACTATCTGAGTCTACCTGTTTGTGGTTGTTTTGGCATCTTTTCAAAACGTTTTCTTATACTCATCAAATGGCTTTTTCTGTATTAGTAAAAAACTTTATCCGAAACGTGACATATCATACTATCAAGAACCAATGGCATTTACCCACCATAAATAAAACTCCTTTTTGTTTCAGAGTTCAGTTAGAGAGCTAGCCATGCCGTGGTTATTAGTCTATATATTAGTCTTGGGAGTCAAGCTTGGAACGCCTTTTATCCCCTAATTATATATTTTGCATCTCCCTAGGGAGTGGTGAGAAAGTCTTGATGTGCAGTTAAACTCTGCCAGTATCAGTCTCAACTCCCAGCCGGGCCCTCACCCCCAGCGTTCTTCATAGTTAGCTGTACTTTTAATTTTTATTTTTAGGGCCACCATTCTAACTTCCAGCAAATGATGTGTGAGCAGGGGAATTTATTATGCTCTGGTGAGGGAAACTAATGCCTGGAATTCTTGTCATTTCCAAGTTACTAAAGCAGTACTTTGAGAATTAATTTTTAAAATTTTATGTCATAAGGAAAACTGCTTCTTTATTTCACATTTTCTGTGGCTTTTCTGTGTAATTAGCTACAGGGAAATTCTTATAAATGAAGTGAAAATGTCAGTACAGGTAAAATTTTAATTATTTTATTTTAGCAAGATATGTGTCACTTATTTTTCTTTTTATGTGTGTATGTATTTATTTTTTTCAGAGATGGAGGTGGGGGTTGCTATCTCGTTATGTTGCTTAGGCTGGTGTTGAACTCCTGGCCTCAAGTAATCCTCCCACCTTGGCCTGCTAAGTAGCTGGGATTACAGGCGTGACCCCAGTTTATGGATCACATGTTTTTCTAAGAAATATGAAGAAAACACTGTTTTTTATATTGGCAGACATTTAGAAATTTCATTTCCACTGAGAAATGGAATGGAAATTCCTTTTTTTTTTTTTGAGACAGAGCTTGCTCTGGCACCCAGGCTAGAGTGCAGTGGTGAGATCTTGGCTCACTGCAACCTCCGCCTCCTGGCTTTGAACAATTCTCTTGCCTCAGCCTCTCAAGTAGCTGGGATTACAGGCGCCTGCCACCATGTCTGGCAAATTTTTGTGTTTTTAGTAGAGATGGAGTTTCATCATGTTGGCCAGGCTGGTTTGGAACTCCTGACCTCAGGTGATTCACCCTCCTCAGCCTCCCAAGTGCGGGGATTATAGGCATGAGGCACTGCACCCAGCCAGAAATTCCATTTTTATGTAGAAATTAATTTAAGAGAGCTAATAAATTCTTTTGTGTGTGTGTGTGTGTGTGTGTGAGATGGAGTTTCGCTCTTGTTACCCAGGCTGGAGCGCAATGGCGCGATCTCGGCTCACCGCAACCTCCGCCTCCTGGGTTCAGGCAATTCTCCTGCCTCAGCCTCCTGAGTAGCTGAGATTACAGGCACGAGCCACCATGCCCAGCTAATTTTTTTTGTATTTTTAGTAGAGACGGGGTTTCACCATGTTGACCAGGATGGTCTCGATCTCTTGACCTTGTGATCCGCCCACCTCGGCCTCCCAAAGTGCTGGGATTACAGGCTTGAGCCACCGCGCCCGGCCAATAAATTTATTTTATTAA